ATGGGGGTGATCTTTGGTCCGCTCATCCCTCTTCTAATAACAGGTGAACGTTTAATAGCCATCTTCTATCCATTCAATGCATATAACATCCTAACTCCACAGCGTACAGTAATCATCCTACTTTGCTTGTATCTTATAACTGGAATGTATTGTCTATATCACGAAATATTGTGTGTACAGTTAAAGACATCCGTCATCAGAGGTGTCACTACGGTCACGATTGTCAAAAGTGATATATATAAAAATCATGTTCGCAGCGGTATGCTTCACCTGTTAGAAGATATATTTAACTACATGACAGGAATAGTGCCGCTGTTCCTTGTACCTGTTGGCGGGGTTGTTATTCAACTCAAGATCACACACATTACCAACAGGCGCCGACGGTTGACTTCCAGTCTAATCAACATCGACATCAAACACAGAACAAAGAAGACAACCAAAACTTTACTGAAGATTTGTCTTCTATATATTGTATGTTATGGTTTTGGCTTCGCTGCTTTTTATATTTTAGAGAGCAAACCATTTGAACACGAATTACCACTTAGGATTGTTGTTACTAATGTTCAAAATATGATACTTTCTGTAAATTGTTTCGGAGATTTTCTTATTTATGTCGCAGCTAATAAAAGTTTCTGGAGATCAATTGCTGGGCGCTGTCCTGATCTACGGGTGTGAGACATGGACAATGACAACAGCTCACTTAATCCAGTTTAAGGTGTCAGAAAGGAAGCATCTGAGAAATATGACGAATTTCTATATCACATCAGGTGCATACTACAGTAGCAATTACATACATGAAGCAAATAAGTAAATCCTTTATAACTGAAGTATAAATTCAACAATACAATGTAACTACCAATTTTACCAGGGCAGCCGCAGTGTCAGAATCACGTCTTTTTGTTTGGAAAGCTCATGGCGAAGGTAACGAAGCGTGGCGACTTTAAGAAAACTTAGCTTCCTGCCATTATCAGACGAGTGACGGATATGAAAGGCGTTGTTCTTGGATACGTTGTGTCCAGATTTTTAAAGATAGCAGGCTATTGGGGAGGGGCGGTTTTTACGACCAGTATTTTCATTTTGATTTTTACTTTGCAATTCTTTCTCTGCCCACACTGGAACATACTTAGCGACTCGTTTCTCCATGCGTCGATTAGTTCTGCCAACATAAGCAGTTTCACTGCTGCATTTAAACTGGTAGTTACAATTTGATCCGGTATACGTCGACACTGGTTGTTTCACCGAGGACGTTGCCATGGGAATGGTTTTAAACCTGACAATAAGTCAATACTTTGTTCTTCAGTTATGAAAGAATTTCTCTATGTTTATCCCCCTTTACTGAAACAAAACGGATAATATAACGCTGCTCTTCTTTGTTGCATGTCAAAAGTGAGGTGACCATATTTGTTTGAAAATAGGTTGTGATTTACAGCTACCCGTTTTGTGAAACCTTTTCGCCTTGTAGTAGCACACAGTTGATAGTCGGGTCACCCGGTTGATTTCTAATGTGTGTATGTGTGTGTGTGTGTGAGAGAGAGAGAGGGAGAGAGAGAGAGAGAGAGAGAGAGAGAGAGAGAGAGAGAGAGAGAGAGAGAGAGAAGAAAGCAAATATGTAATAGGACAGACAACTGACTTGACTGTGATGCGGCGTTCCTGCCCTGCAGACAGGCTATAGTGTAGTTTTTCAGAATCTAGATAATATAATCTTCGCTGTTTTTTCACTAAGGCAAATATTAAAATACACTAAATAAAGTTACCTTAAATGCCAGTGGTTTCTGTCAATGCATTGTGTTTGCATAGTCGCCGGAAGTCCAATGTGGTCATGTGACTTAGCTGTATAGCTTAACATTTACTGTAAACTGTCTTGTTACAAAGGAAGGGTTGTTGAGGTAAAACTAACGTTGGTCTCTCCAGGGAGTGCCCATATACACACTAGCTCGCTCCTGATTGGTAGGCCTTGAGCCTTACGGGGGGTGTTCCGCAATGGCGTTGACATCGCGTTTGTATAATTCAACACGTCAGTGCTTTTAACACTCCAAAAACGTGGACAAACTGGGTCTAAAACGATCGCCCTAAGGAGTGCTGTAGCCTATGCCACAGGCATTCTTGTTCTCGTAATAAAAACGTAAATGCAAGACAATCCAGAAAGCAAACAAAAGAGCGGCACACCCGTAACTTGCAGGAAAGTAGCCAAACAAACTTTTGACTGAAACGTGACCTACTTTGTCTGGGGAGACCAACTTCAGTTTTACAGTTGATGATTTGAAAAGTTCCATGCTTTCCGTGTGGTTTACCAAACACCGAACAGGCAACTGCCGAGAATCCCCAACGCTTTAATAACTGAAATTGCTCATCAAAATCAGGACTGTCTTATCATACAAGAATGGATTCTCTCGTTAACTGCCTCACGAATATCTCGCCTAACCTTCAGACTTTAAGACGGCACTGAGTAGAATAACTTGCATTTACAGCAGGGGGTAAAAAGTTACAACGTGACTGCAAACCGGCAGAAATATAGTGACTTCTGGTCACAGGGGACCTTTAAAGTAAATTCTCCGACTAAGAGGCGCAATTTTCACGTTTCTCTCCAGGGGGCTTTCTCTCTTCTTTTCTTTAAAAAACGTTTAAATGTGAAGACTTTGTGAACACGACTAATAAACATGTTGTGACAATACGCTCGGTGACTGCAGAATGTCTTTCCTCAACCTACTTTTATTTCTTTGTATTTTGAAAGTATACAGGAAAATAGGGATTTGGATACATCCTTAATCTAAATAAGATGACCACATCACACCTTTAATTCTCCTGGACCGTTGGTCATATCAAACACTAAAACTTTTTCCCAGATTTTAAGTGTTGAGGTACAGAGATAAGACTGACCAAGCAGACTTACTGACTGGAGATTTGCACACCATTTGTTGGTGTCAGATATTTATCTCCTAGCCAGACCATTAGGGGTAAATAACTCCGGCTAATTGTGTTTAATTCCCCCTGACGTTACCTAAACTGGAGTGCCGGTCAGATCGTCAATATTGACACAGTGAGCCGAAAGTGTTGGCAGAAGAATTGACAAAGTCTGATTTTATTGTGATGACAGGTGAAGTAGACTGGAGGTGTGACTTGTCCTATTTGCTCTGGTCAGATGAATTGACCAGGAGATCCTAGCGTGGGAATTTGAACAAGTGTTGTACAGCCTTGACTGACAGCGAATAAACTTACCCACAAGGGAGGAGCTGTGACATCCTTAAATGAGAATGATTTTAGGCGTAATGTAGGAGGAGCTTAATAAAAGTTATAAAGGGGTGAACTCTAGGTCTGGTAAATGAGACGCTGTCAAGCACATGCCATCTGTTGGGCTTAACCTAAGCTTGAGACAGAACTTTTGGCATCGTGGTTTCATTTTCCAGGTAAGATTGAAATTAGGTTTAAATCTATATTTTGTGATAGAAATCTAACTGTCTTTTTACTCAAGAGTGTGTTTTCATCACTTTGTAGTACTCCTAGGCGGACATTTCTTTATTCTCGTAGGGCACTGTCACATTGCTTTATATCCTATTTGATAGTGTCATGAATGGTTTTTCGTGCACATGTGTTTCAATGTTGTAAAACCTAAATGTTGTTGTTACCATTGAAATTTAATGAATTATCATGTTTTTTAAACCACAAGCGTGAAGATAACTTTGGCAATCTTTTCACGTGTGGTTAATGTGAATCTGTATTACATACAGCTTACACACTGAAATGTGTTTAACTCTCGGGAGGCTAATGCGGAGATTGATCCCGGAGAGTAAATCCACGAGATTTGTTATTTGATTCGCCCCAGAACTATTGTTAGCATTCTGGGCGCGTGGATTGTTCCAAGCATAGATTCCAGAACTGGTTCTGTCTGACTGATTGTCATTTTGAGTCTGTACGAGAGATGGCACCTGACGTAGAAGACTTGACTATCATTACAGGACGTGTAGAGGAAGGCAGAAGATGTAACAGTTGGAATGTGAGACATAAGCCCTTCCAAATTGGACAAGAGTGAATGTGAAAATTAGGGAGAGATTAAATGTTTTATTCAAATAAACATGTTTGATGTTATTATAATATACATGCTTAGCGTACATCTAGAGCAGATACTACAAATATGCGCTTGTTTCTTTATCACAGTTCCCACATTGGGCAGGGACTAGTAAGCATCCATTCCTTGCTGACCGTCTGAGTGTAACGACCTGCTTGAAGCAGTGAGGACGACAAACTGGGAAAGAATAGACAGGGTCTCAAGCCGAGAACTGTCCAAAGGTTGTTACTTTCCAATACCTTTATGATTTCATCATTCACATCATTTCAACTCTACTAGCCTAAACAAGTTCATTTTAATTTCGATTTATTCAAATAAATCTTTTTGATGTTGTTACAACATAGTTGAGTAAATTGTGTACTTAGGTTCAAGTGTCTTTGTGCATATTAGTTTACTTCAGCTAAAAAATATTTAAATCACTTGATGGGGGCTTTTAAGTAATGCCAGGAGAGGAGAGCAGTCGGAGGGGTTAAATGAGCACATGGATTATATCACAGTGGGTGTATCCAGATATCTATCTATCCCTTCTCCTACTCCTGTGGATACAAGTTCAGCAACTTTCATTTCATGGAACGAGCCACTCGCTGTTTTCTTGGCTATCCAGGACTGTCTAGGATCAACATAGCTTAGATAATAGTCCAGTTTCTCACGTGGGTGGGCATTGTTAAGGTTCAAACCCACACCCTCACGATATCAGTGTATTTACCCACGTGGGCGCGCGACACATGTAGTGAGCTGCTTCGTACTCAAAAGTTTTTTGTTTTTTTTTAAGTTGAATTCGATCATACAACCACCTTTTTTAGTTTTGCAAGCGACAAACTTATTTTAGTTTTTAAATTAACAAGCATAGCTTACATTGGTTGAACAAACAAATACCTTTAATTTAATTAGCTTCAAATGTACAAGGCAAATAAATTCTCTTCCTAGAGGTACAAACTTATTTGTCAGAAGAACACATAGGGCTAAATTCATTATAGAAAGTGTATAGACTCGTCGGTCCACAATCACCAAAGATATCATATACGGCTCTTATCACTGCCTCTAAACTCTTCTCTTCACAGGTACAAACTAGGTAAGTACTTCCGGTCACGTCAATTGACCACAGCCCGGTCAGGGAAGCGATGGCCAGAGGTAAACGAGTAAGTCTGGTATTTCTTAAGTTCAGATCTCTTAATTGCGGAAGATTCCGGAAGGCCAAGGGAGACACTTTTGTTAGAGGGTTATTGTAAAGATACAAATACATAATGCTGGAGTTAACGGGAAAGCTTGTATCACTCAACTCCTGGATAAAGTTCCCTCCGAGATCAACATTAGTTGTTGAATTTGGAAAGTCGATGCCTTGAATTGTAAATATACTGTTGTAACTTAGGGCTACCCCAATGTATTTTGAGTTAATTGTCTTCAAGACTCTGGGTATGGTCCGAAGACGGTTATAATCCAGTTTGAGGACGATCACAGCTGAAGACACTGATCCAGAGTTTGGGTCGGAAATGTGATTATGTGTAAAGTCTAAAGTTGTCAACTGAGTCAAAAGAGGGGTATCTGGAATGGATGTCAGCAAGTTATCGTGAATGTTAAACTCGTTCAATGTGCTGCCATAAGATCGCAAAGCCGTGCTGAGTTGGACTGAATCAGATATCCTGTTGTCGTTTAGAGACAACGAGGTGAGTTTACTTAACTGTGGTAACCAAGTAATGTTTGCAATTCTGTTTTGCGCTAGCGAAAGTTTTATTAGCTCCGTCAGATTTGCCAGAGCCTTCGGCACAGTTACTAAATTATTATTGTTCAGACTTAACTCTCTTAAACTGGTGGCACTCAAGTCAAAAGCATTGTCAGGGATAGAAGAAATAGAGCTTCCGGATATAGTTAACTGTAACAGACGAGAATACACCTGGAGCCACGTAGGCCATGTAGTTAACCCCACCGTGTCAAGGATTAGTATTTGAATCCCAGATCCCAACTTGGCCATACCGCTGTCGTTCCATGTTGTTATATTCGTATTAGAAACACTGAGACTAATCAAGTTTCGGAGCTGTAACACTGCATCGGGAATCTGGGCGAATGCAGCCCCAGAGAAGACCAATGATTGGAGAGTGTTCAGAGATTCGTTGAAAGCCGCTTCGTCGATTGTCTTCACCGGGTTCTCGGCGACTGAGAGACCGGATATGTTTGCTATGAGACTTCCGGCTGATATTCTTGAGATTTGGTTTCTCTGTTCCAACAATAAAATGGCGTACTTATTAGGAAATAATAGCATTTGCCATTAGTGTAAAATAATTAATTCAATGTAACTGTGGAAGCAAGACTATGCTGTTTAAAAATGTAAACTAGAAAAAACGACAAGTACCCTAAAATAAACTTCCATCATAGAGACCTGGAATAGCGAATAGGATTTTTGACTTTTCAGTGTAGCTACTATCTCAAGTGACACATTTATGTTACTATTTTCTGACTCTGAAAGGAGCCTAGAAAAAAGAATACTAATTTTAGAATGAATCTTGTGGTGCTTCAATTTTAATTCACCCCGAACAAAAAGTTCCAGTTAAATCTAGGTGTTTTCTTTTGCAGTTTATATATATATATATATATATATATATATATATATATATATATATATATATATATATATATATATATATATATATATATATATATATAAAGGTAAAGTTAAAGTCGGGAGAGGTGAACCAGCGTCATTTCACATGGTACAAAAAAAGTTATTTGGTCATGTAATGAGAAAAGGAGCAATGGAAAATATCGTGACGACTGGAAAGATCACTGTGAGAAGAGGCAGAGGCAGACCATGAGAAATGATGGTGGATGGCTTAAGACAGTGACATGGAGGAATATCATCAGTGGAATTGATCCAGATCACAAAAGATCGAGATCTGTGGCGACGCATAAACGCCTACACCGCTAGCAAGGACCTTGATGATGATGAAAACTTGAATAACCATATCAGTTGACTCTAACTAGACGCATTTTTCAGTCCCGCGATCAGTCAGAATTACTTGTACAGCAGACTTACAAGATTTCAGTGTAACATGCATTGGTAAAAATTTGACATTGTATGTATGAAGGAGAGTTTTCCCGTGGGGAAGGGAGAGGGGTCATAATCTTTGTCTCCTTTAGCCCTCCGAGCTTCATTTTCTTGGTCATCCTTTTAGTTTCCACATGCTGTGTCTCTCTGTTATCTGCCGTTGTCTCCATATGCCACAACTATTTTAGTATTTTAGCTCTTTGTCTGCCAGTAATTAGTAGTGATTTAAACAGGTTATGACTTGGTTGAACAGATGGGCCATGGGAGACACTGGAAGAGAGGTTTATAGACATATGTCTGGCCCTGATCCTAATGACAGCATTAACCATCTAACAAGAAGGGACCAGGCCACCATCTTTAGACTTAGAACGCAACATACTCCACTCAATGGACACCTAAACAGAATACAGCCACAACACTCCCCAGAGTGCCAGCTATGTAACTACCCCTACGAAACTGTAGAACACCATCTCTTTGAGTGCCCAAAACTCAGTGAGACAAGAAGAACACTACTCCCTCCGACACCAGACAAGTGGAACACCTTGTACGGAGGAAAAGAACAGCTTGTGAAAACATGCAAATTCCACTACATGGCATTGGGCCAAAGGGCTAAAGCTCATGCGCCGCTGGATCGATAACAACAACAACAACAACAACAACAACAACAAACAGGTTATGAATTTCCTCATTGTTGCTTCGGACTCTCCAATTACCTCCCCCTTACATTTTGCCATATTTGATAGGTCCAAAATAGCGATAGGACATAAATGTGGACCGTGAGCACCCTACATCATGTAGCAATCCCTTTACAAAATGTCATTTCCATTACGGTTCTTATGAAAGAAACTCCGTAGCTCACCAGCTCTCCCGCCTCATACACTTACCTGCCCATAAGTCTCTTACGTCATTTGCCCATCTTCGTGCTAGTCGGATCCTGCCCCTCTGATAGGGTACCATGGCTTCCACTACTGTTTGTTTTCTTCCAATCCATCGTGGCCTTTGACATTGTAATACATGCAGTGTCACCATATCCACCAATATGCTTTGTACGTGGTACTTTCTGAGCACCTTTCAACAATAAATTATCCTTTTGTGTTAATAGATGTTAAACCTTTGGGCATACGCTTTTTTTTAAGTTCAGTCAGCTTTACACAACTATAAAAATTATTCTTTCACTCAGTTTTACCGTACTAGTTAACTTGCAATTGATAACTTTTCCTATCACTGTTGATAATTTTAATCATTTCTGCTACCATTATCGGTCCCAAACACGGATGAGAAAGGAAGAGGGTTGAGCTAGTTTTCGAACTACTTCATCCTATTAAAAAGAACTGTGTTACTTAAACTCACATAGGCGGCCATTCAAAAAAAAAAAACTAACCAGTCAACTGTTTTACGGTGCACTTAGTGCACATATAACGGCTGCTGGTTAAGAATTAAATGGGTAACTAGACTGAGTTTTTTGTGATATGTAACGGCACAACAGGACGATGATAACAATGAGGATGCAGACAACGATGATGATGATGATGATGTTACATGTGCACTCTAACTATGTATTCTTAGATGTTGGCAAATCAGCGACAATAAAAGGATGCTGGAATGTGAAACTCGTTGTTGAATTAGGAATGCAAATTTGCTTACATAATTGCTTGTTGTACCCCCACCAGGACATCACACAAGCGAAAAACACCAGGTGACACAAAGTGGATGACCCATGCGGATGAGGATCACTCTTGGTGAGGTCCCACCAGAAACCCCTTCCAGTCGTTTAGGCCATATCTATAACTAGGCCATATTTATGGCCCGGCTTTATTCAGGGCCCTCGGCAAAAGCCGGGATATTCTTTTAAAAACATGCATCCTACAAGGGGACGACTTCTAATGTTAAACACATATGCAAATTGTAGCTAACAAAAGCTGAACATTTCATCATAGGCGCAAGATGTCTGATCAACACAGAAGAGGCGTAAGCAATAGTTTTACACAATGTAAAGCTATCGAAAAGGAGATCGAAGTACCCATGGATTTGTCAATAATGCTGTAATGATAATCCTCATTTGAAAACTAATCACTAATAGAATGTCATTTGGTACTAACAACACGTACCCAGCACCTCACTGGAATTCTTCTCTTCTTCCTATTCTTATCCACCATGTCAGATGATCTTCCATGCCGTGTGACGTTGTTTGTCATGTCTATCCTTTGCATCCTGTCTCTTGTATTTCTGACACAGATGATCTTACACGCCGTGTGACGTTGTTTGTCATGTCTATCCTTTGCCTCCTGTCTCTTGTATTTCTGACACAGATGATCTTCCATGCCGTGTGACGTTGTTTGTCATGTCTATCCTTTGCCTCCTGTCTCTTGTATTTCTCACACAGATGATCTTCCACGCCGTGTGACGTTGTTTGTCATGTCTATCCTTTGCCTCCTGTCTCTTGTATTTCTGATACAGATGATCTTCCATGCCGTGTGACGTTGTTTGTCATGTCTATCCTTTGCCTCCTGTCTCTTGTATTTCTGACACAGATGATCTTCCATGCCGTGTGACCTTGTTTGTCATGTCTATCCTTTGCCTCCTGTCTCTTGTATTTCTGACACAGATGATCTTCCATGCCGTGTGACGTTGTTTGTCATGTCTATCCTTTGCCTCCTGTCTCTTGTATTTCTGACACAGATGATCTTCCATGCCGTGTGACGTTGTTTGTCATGTCTATCCTTTGCCTCCTGTCTCTTGTATTTCTGACACAGATGATCTTCCATGCCGTGTGACGTTGTTTTTCATGTCTATCCTTTGACTCCTGTCTCTTGTATTTCTGATACAGATGATCTTCCATGCCGTGTGACGTTGTTTGTCATGTCTATCCTTTGCCTCCTGTTTCTTGTATTTCTGACACAGATGATCTTCCATGCCGTGTGACGTTGTTTTTCATGTCTATCCTTTGACTCCTGTCTCTTGTATTTCTGATACAGATGATCTTCCATGCCGTGTGACGTTGTTTGTCATGTCTATCCTTTGCCTCCTGTCTCTTGTATTTCTGACACAGATGATCTTCCATGCCGTGATGTCAAACTGTCCAGCATCTTCTCCCTCGGTCTCCCACTGCCCATCATCCAGTCTAACCTTTCCACCGTCACGTTGTATTTCAGTTTTCTCCTTCTCATAATGTGACTAGAGAGTGTAGATTGTCTCATCCTGTTGTGGCTCGTGGTGGTAGTGTAGACTGTCTCATCCCGGTGGCTTATGGTGGTAGTGTAGACTGTCTCATCTCTGTGGCTCGTGGTGGTAATGCAGACTGTCTCATCCCGGTGGCTCGTGGTGGTAGTGTAGATTGTCTCATCTCGGTGGCTCGTGGTGGTAGTGTAGACTGTCTCATCCCGGTGGCTCGTGGTGGTAGTGTAGACTGTCTCATCCCGGTGGCTCGTGGTGGTAGTGTAGACTGTCTCATCCCGGTGGCTCGTGGTGGTAGTGTAGACTGTCTCATCCCGGTGGCTCGTGGTTGTTTGGACAGAACGGTGATGGATGCTGCAGTTGGTGTTTAGTAATATCCTACCCCCAGATGACGCCACAGGACAGTCCAACATTTTAGAGGCTGGTAAGACTGGGTTTCACTGCTTTCTTATGCTTTTAACGATTCCAAAACATCTAGAATTGGCCCTAAGCCCAACCCACCTAGCTTCCACGAGAGAGTGCAGTCTAGGTCCCACGACTGCATGCAGCCTCGGTCCCATGATTGCACGCAGCCTATCTACCTCCCCCTGAAATATTAGACTGTCCGTGACCTGTAGATTTTCCATGTTTGGGGTAGGATATTTTTAAAGCACTGTGCAGTTTCCAGAGAAGGAGGCAAGTAATGATCTTCGCGAAGCAGGATACATGACACTAGAGTTGCATTGGCTCTAAAACCACTCAGGCCTGGAGAACTGGCTACAGATACAAGAAAGACCTTCAGCCCTGCCGTGAAGAAAGCGACGTTGTTTAAACGACATGATGATTGATTGACTATTGTGCTATGACCCAGTGTAATACTACTCTGCTACCTAGACCGTGTAACTTACGTCTAGAGACACCTGTGGCATGAAGGCAGTCGAGTCTCCTGTGATCTCCGGCATGGCTGTCAGGTCCATGTCCCCACAGTTGATGCTGTCATAGTCGCAGTAGCAGCCCTGAGGAGGTGATGGTGTCGACACGTGAGATTTCAGGAGATTGTTTCACATGGTTTTCTCTATCTATCTATCTATCTATCTATCTATCTATCTATCTATCTATCTATCTATCTATCTATCTATCTATCTATCTATCTATCTATCTATCTATCTATCTATCTATCTATCTATCTATCTATCTATCTAATCTATCTATCTATCTATCTATCTATCTATCTATCTATCTATCTATCTATCTATCTATCTATCTATCTATCTATCTATCTATCTATCTATCTATCTATCTATCTATCTATCTATCTATCTATCTATCTATCTATCTATCTATCTATCTATCTATCTATCTATCTATCTATCTATCTATCTATCTATCTATCTATCTATCTATCTATCTATCTATCTATCTATCTATCTATCTATCTATCTATCTATCTATCTATCTATCTATCTATCTATCTATCTATCTATCTATCTATCTATCTATCTATCTATCTATCTGTCTGTCTGTCTATCTATCTATCTGTCTGTCTCTCTCTCTCTATCTATCTATCTCTCTATCTATCTATCTATCTATCTATCTATCTATCTATCTATCTATCTATCTATCTATCTATCTATCTATCTATCTATCTATCTATCTATCTATCTATCTATCTATCTATCTATCTATCTATCTATCTATCTATCTATCTATCTATCAATCTAATCTATCTATCTATATCTATCTATCTATCTATCTATCTATCTATCTATCTATCTATCTATCTATCTATCTATCTATCTATCTATCTATCTATCTATCTATCTATCTATCTATCTATCTATCTATCTATCTATCTATCTATCTATCTATCTATCTATCTATCTATCTATCTATCTATCTATCTATCTATCTATCTATCTATCTATCTATCTATCTATCTATCTATCTATCTATCTATCTATCTATCTATCTATCTATCTATCTATCTATCTATCTATCTATCTATCTATCTATCTATCTATCTATCTATCTATCTATCTATCTATCTATCTATCTATCTATCTATCTATCTATCTATCTATCTATCTATCTATCTATCTATCTATCTATCTATCTATCTATCTATATCTATCTATCTATCTATCTATCTATCTATCTATCTATCTATTTCTATCTATCTATCTATCTATCTATCTGTCTCTCTGACTATCTATCTCTCTATCTCTCTATCTCTCTATCTATCTATCTATCTATCTATCTATCTATCTATCTATCTATCTATCTATCTATCTATCTATCTATCTATCTATCTATCTATCTATCTATCTATCTATCTATCTATCTATCTATCTATCTATCTATCTATCTATCTATCTATCTATCTATCTATCTATCTATCTATCTATCTATCTATCTATCTATCTATCTATCTATCTATCTATCTATCTATCTATCTATCTATCTATCTATCTATCTATCTATCTAATCTATCTATCTATCTATCTATCTATCTATCTATCTATCTATCTATCTATCTATCTGCCTATCTATCTGCCTATCTGTCTGTCTGTCTGTCGGTCGGTCGGTCGGTCGGTCGGTCGTTTAGTCGTTCTGTCCGTCTGTCTGTCTGTCTGTCTAATGTATGTATGTATGTGGGTGTGTATGTGTATATGTGGGTGTATGTATGTAGTTGTGCAAGTGAGTAAGTCAGTGGGTGGGCATGTGTTTGTGGCTGTGTGTGCGCGCGCGCCAGTGTACCCATGCATTTTACAACCCATAGTTTTGTGTTTTTTCTTGATATTCATAATATGCATATTATTATGTGATCATAACATGTTTTATTGATAAAATACAACTGGTGTGTGAAAAGTGGGTGTTTGGAAAGGCCTTATGTAAGGCGGGCCTGCGTGCCCATGTTGTAACTATTTGAAAAAAAGTTTTGTTCGATCTTAGTTCTGTCTGTATGTCGTTCTGTCTGCCCGTCTATCTATATATCTGCCTGTTTGTCTGTCTTGTCTGTCTACCTGTCTATCTGTACGTCTTAGTGTCTGTCTGTCCGTCTACTTGTATATCTGCCTGCCTGTCTGTCTTGTCTGTCTGTCTGTGTGTCTATCCTTCTATGTGCCTGACTTATTTTTTTTATTTTTTTTTTTGGATAACTATGAACTTATATACATAAGTTTTGTCGTAAAAAGAGTTCTTTCCTGTCTACGCACACACATTAGCCTATCTATAAATATATTAATCATTCGCGTGTTATTTTGTTTCCTTTGTGAATGTATGATCGAGTCGATGAGTATATCACCATCCATGGTTTTAAGTGATTAACCCATCCTTATAATTCTGACATACCGATTTGGATAAGCTGTTGGCTTTTTCGCCACAAACCACTTTGGGATTTTTTTTTAAATTGTTACGGACCACCACAAACAGCTAGCAGCAACTGGTAAAGGATATTCAACTATTTTTAACACGAGTAAACATATAAGCTTTTATTATATAATAATACACGTTAGTACAACCTGGTACACACACTCGAGATCTAATGCCGATGTCCACAGAAATCCAGCCAACAGCACACAGATAACCCGAAATATCTTGTCGTTCATACTGGCTAAAAGAATTATGGCAAATGACGTCCTTGGATTATAATTAGGGGAACTATTTTAACTACTAAGGTACGAGATCCTTCACATACATACTATACAGACTTTATGATTGAAAGTTTGCCGTAACAGCTGAACCACACTGAAAGAGTTTACTACTTTATTTTTTTGATAACTTAAAATAAATCATGTTTTGATTTGACGAATTAAATAGTAACATTATTAAAAAAAGGAAGCCGTCGTGGTGTAGCGGCTAGACGCTCACTGCTAATCCGATTGTCGTGGGTTTGAATCCAAACGGAGTCGGAATTTTTTTACTGACCATGGTTCCCAGCCCTGAGTCTTCTTCTTCTTCTACCTTTATATCCCCCAATGCAGCATAGGCCCTCAACCAACTCACGCCAAGTCGTTCTATCCTTCGCCATTGCATGCAGCTCTCCCCATGTCCTCCCAGTCTTTCTAACCACATTCTCCAGCTCTCTTCTCCATGTGTTTTTTGGCCTTCCTTTATTCCTATGCCCCTGTGGGTTCCAATGCAAAGACATTCTAGTTATGCTGTTCTCCTGTTTTCTCAGTGTGTGCCCTATCCAACGCCAGCGTCTTTTCCTCACCTCCTGATCCACTGGAGCCTGTTTAGTTCTCTCCCAAAGTTCTACATTAGTTATTCTATCATACCATTTTATTCCCTCTATTCTGCGCAGGCACCAGTTAATGAGTGTCTGTAATTTATTAGTAATTGCCTTGGTTGTTCTCCATGTTTCCGCCCATACAATAGTACTGATTTGACATTAGAATTACAAATTTTTACTTTAGTATTTCTTCCTGAGTGCTTACCAGATGAATTACGAGGTAAGTAAAGGCGGCCGGCGTGATGTTGATGCAAGCGCTCATTAATCGCCGAATGGTCTATAAAATCTAAATCTAGCCCTATATGCCCAATACGCCTGAAGGTGTGGAAAACAATCCTTTACTATTGTAGAACAGAAACATTACTACTTACTACCACCCGAACATGGGACGCCATTTTTTTTGTTATTTTGAAGCCCTTTCCCGTCTTCTAATATAACCTAACGGTTGATCGGGGTTTCTGGAACTTGCTCCCTGGTGATTCTCATCCGAGTGGTGGCACTTTGTATCACCAGGTGTTTGTCGCTCGTTGTGTGGTCCTACTGGTGTTGAACATTAGTCACTGACTACTATAGAAGGCCAGAAACAGAGACGAATGGTGGCGGTTGATATCTGCAGCAATGAACCTTGAGGGCTCGGAATGAAGAAGAAAATATTGATATTCTTTTCTCTCTAGTTAGTCTTCATGGACTGCTTTAAGGGTGTCCTTGAGGCAGAGATGACTTGGGAACCAAAGTCATTTTGAAAGAAATCGGACTCGATGAGGATTTGAATCACCGTCTAACCGTTAGACCCCCGTGGCAATTGTTACACAGCTTGCTTGTGAATTGTTACTTAATAATAAAGTAACAGAAAATGTGTTGATCGGCACTCATATTATTGATGTATTTTTACTTGGGCTTCAAGCATATATAGACGAGTAAAGGTGGGCTCAGTGTCTGTGTCTTAGAAGTTGCGAACGCGCTTCGCAATTCCCAGGTGTCGGGTTTGATTACAACTGCGGTCTTGCGTTGGTTTTGACAGTAATACCAAGAGCTGACCGTTGAGATAGCAATGGCAAACTACTGAATGTAAAATTTGCCAAGAAAAATCACAACAGAGAAAAAATTATGGGGTTGGTTCTGCAATGCCCTGTAAAGAATTCGCAACTTAACTTTTTTTTTTTTTAAAGAAGCATATGTTGTTTTAAAATATATTGGATTAGTACCATATCAGCAACGCTCTTGAAGACATGAAGAAGGGTCCTTGACATACTAGCATTTGCTGGTTTAGTGTAAGAGAAAACAAAAAACTATCCAAGACAACTTCTACGTTCGCATTTGATATAGAACGGCTTGGGCATTGTGATGTGGCTTACTGCTGGGTGTATACCTCTATGTGTGTGTGTGTGTGTGTGTGTGTGTGTGTGTACATGCTCTTTTCTTCGTGTGGGTTCTAGGGTCCCATGTGCGGAAAACAAGAAAAGACCCACTGTCTCCCATACAAACATATCGTAGGATTCTACTAAATAGGTACTTCGGAGTGCATCTACCTGAGTGGCAGAACACAAATAAGCCAGTAAAACGGCATAAAGCCATATAAATGGACGAACAACCACACTTTCCGCCGGAGCTTACAGCCAATAAACAAAGAAGAAAAAGAAAACATAGGTTTGTGTATGTATTATGTGTGTAGGCATTATGTATGTATGTGCATGTAAATACAAGTAAATTAAAACAACGAAGACAAGTTCTCTTATACTGTAGGTGTGATGTTTTCTAGTTCTCATCTGTAGATTATGTTGGTGATTGTAATCTAAGTGGGTCACCTTATGCCATTGTCTCTCTACAATCAGAGTCACGAACAGTGTACTGCTGTTAGATATTACTTCTGTATGAAGCGTTCAAGTTAACGGTAATGGCAGCATCGACTTCATGGTACCTGGTTTTATCTTATCTGGTTCGGTCTTTCTCCTTCTATCTCTCTCTCTCTCTCTGTCTCTCCCTCTGTCTGTCTCTCTCTTTCTCTCTCTCTCTCTCTCTCTCTTTCTCTCGCTTTCTCTCTCTCTCTCTCTTTTTCTCTCTATGTCTCTGTCCCTCTCTGTACGTCTCTCTCTTTCTCTCTCTTTCTCTCTCTGTCTCTCTCTGTCTCTGTCTCTCTCAGACTCTCTCTTTCTATTTCTCTTTCTCTCTCTTTTTTTCTCTCTCTGTCTATCTCTCTTTCTCTCTTTCTCTCTCTCTTTCTCTCTCTGTCTCTGTCTCTCTCTCTCTCTTTCTCTCTCTCTCTGTCTCTGTCTCTCTCTGTCTGTCTCTCTCTTTCTATCTCTCACTCTCCGTCTCTCTCTCTCTGTCTCTCTCTTTCTCTCTCTCTTTCTCTCTCTCTCTTTCTCTCTCTCTTCTCTCTCTCTCTCTCTCTCTCTCTCTCTCTCTCTCTCTCTCTCTGCAGAACGGTTTTAATCAGTTCTAAAAGCAGTGACCTCAAAGTGTCACAAATATCTCGAAAACCCATGCACGGAAGAGCACGAATTTGGGTGCTTTAATAATATCCTACCCCGAACAGGGGAAATCTACATGTCACAGGACTGTCAAATATTTCAGGGGGTGGTAGTTACGCTGCATACAGTCGTGGGACCTAAGCTGCCTGCAGTCGTTGGGCCTAGACTGCACTCTCTCGTGGGACGTGGGTGGGTTAGGGTTAGGGCCAATTCTATATGTTTTAGGGTCGTTAAAAGCTACAGAAAGCCGGGAGTCTCAGACTTACCACCCTCTAAAATGTTGGACTGTCCTGTGACGTCATCGGGTGTAGGATATTAATAAAGCACCTGAATTCGTTATATTTCATAATTTACATTTGCACAGTTGCTGCTGTTTTCTTACAGCGGCAAATTTCTTTGATCTTTTTGGACTAAAATTTGCGTACCTGAATAAAGAAACAACCTGCAGTAATTGACACAAATCATTTTCTTTGTGAGCCAATCAGCAAGCATTATATTAGGACATGACGTAACCACGTCACTATTCACAATCAGAGCGCCTTAGATTTTCTCATAGATTACTTCCAAAAACGGGTGCAGTTTGGTGTTTTGCCAACTTCACCTGAAGCTAATTACTGTACACCAGCTAATTATGTGCTTTGAATCAGTGTGTGTGTGTATGTGTGTATGTTTTTTTTTTTTTTTTTTTTTTAATTTATATAATTTGAGACTTATTTATTTTTTTACTGGGAAAAATTGTCCTAGTCAACCTCAGTAAGAGTTTGTATGACACTTGGCTCTAGTTCTCTTTTCTTATAACTTATCAACACTCATTAGGTGATGTCAACCATAGCACGCTAGACGAGTTTAGAACTGATGAAATCTAAGAAAAAAAAAGAACAAATAAGTAATTAAAAAAGTAATTTTACTACAGTAGTAGAAAATCTTTATTTTCAGTGTGTGAACAATATCTGCAGCAATGAACCTCAAGGGTAGTACTAGTAGTATATTTTACCTCACTAGAACATCACACAAGCGATAAACACCCGATGACACAAAGTGTCATAATGTGGATCACCCGTTGAGCGGTCCCAGAAACCGCGTTCAGTCATTAGATCATAGTTATGGCCGGGCTATATTGCGGCCCCTGGCAAGATCCAGGGTGGGGCTTCATGATAACGAAAAAGTGCATCCTACAAAGGGATGAATAGTTGTAAAGTAATACGCTAAAGGAGTTTAGAGCCGATGAAAGCTAAGAATAAAAAGAACAAAAAAGTAGAGAAATAATTTTACGACAGTGGTAGAGAATTGTTATTGTTAGTGTGTGAACAATATCTGCAGCAATGAGTCTCAAGGGCTCGGAATGCTGGGAAAAAAAAAGAAGTGTGAACAATAAGAAGGGTTTGTGTCACATAAAAGTAATAACTGTCTGGCGAATGTTGGTATTTACAATTCAGTTTAAATCCTTACTTCTTGAACCGGCGCCGACACAAATAAAACATTTTTGGTGTAGTAGAAAGGGTGCTGAACTCTTTATAAATTTCAAAGTGAATAAAGGAGGGCTGAAGGAGACTTTAGCTTTACGTAAGTGTTTAATAACAACAATACCTGTTATTATTCTCGTAAAACTGTAGGAAGTCGCCGTGGTTTAGCAGTTAGCTCATGGCCTGCGGATCTAAAAGTCGTGGGTTCGAATCCAAACTGAGCCGCACTGTTTTTCAAATACGACCTTGTCTCCCAGATCGACCCAGCCTTGAATGGGTACTAGACAAAATCCTGAGAAGTAAAAGCGGTCGTCATGATGTTCACCGTATCCCCCACCGAGCGCTGATTGGTCTATACACTATACGTCTAGCACTTTATGCTCAGTATGCTTTTTGTGTACTATACATAATAGTATAATATATAACATATAAACTAATTCTTCAACAAAAGATAACTTCTACACATGGTTGTTGGGTGGGAATGGGTAAGTAACCTATTCCCTTTTACACATGGACGTGTGTGTGTGGAGAGAGGGGGGGGGGGGCCTCAAGTGACCTTAAGGTCCAGCTTCTTGTACCCTTGTTCTTGGATATCAGTGTATCCAATCATTCTCATCATGTAGCAAGTCCTTTGCAGAGCGTCGCTCTCATCACGGTCTGCCTGAATGAAACTTGATCTTTCGCCAGCTTTCCCGCCTCGATGTACTTCCATATTTAAGGAGTCACTTATATCCCCTGTCCATCGTCGTGTTGGTCGGTCGCCGCCTCTGCTTGTTGATTCCATGCTTCTGCTATTATTTTTTTTTTTTTATCCAATCCGCCATTGATATGAACAAAATATTCTAGCTCCCGAGACAGGATACTGTTTATTAGCCAATCCTCCTTGATGTTCAAATATTTTAAAATATCAGTATCTCTTCTTTTCTGTGTCCGTGGTATTCTAAGACTCTGTCTATAGCATTTCCAGTAAAGACAGAAAATCTTCTTCTGATCAACTTCCTTAGTGAACCAAAACGTATATGGTCTGTTACGTAAAACACCCTTTTTGTGTCATTTGTGCATTGGGCATATGATATTGAACTCATGGTCGGGTCAACGTTATTCATGTCGCCCGTACTTACATAGACAGTTGCGTCAACATCATGCCTGTCGTCTTTACTTATATAGACAGTCGGTTGTACGTCATGTCTGTCGCCTTTAGTTATATAGACAGTCGGGTGTTCATCATGTCTGTCGCCTTTAGTTATATAGACAGTCGGGTCAACATCATGTCTGTCGCCTCTACTTATAAAGACTGTCAAGTCAACATCATGCCTGTCGCGTTTACTTGTATAGACAGTCCGGTCAACATCATGTTTGTCGCCTTTAATTATATAGACAGTTGGGTCAACATCATGTTTGTCGCCTTTACTTATATAGACATTCGGGTCAACATCATGTTTGTCGCCTTTACTTATATAGACATTCGGGTCAACATCATACCTGTATACTTTACTTACGACGATATTTTATTGAACACATTTTTTGGCTGAATGGCTTAGAACAGCGGTTCTCAACCTGTAGGGGTCTAACGACCATTTCACAGGGGTCGCCTAAGACTATTGGAAAACACATATTCACTGAAGCTATGAAGAAGCAACGAAAATAATGTTATGATTGGAGGTCAACACAACACATGGAAACTGTATTAAATCGTTGCTGCGTTAGGAAGATTGATAACCACTGGCTTAGAAGATTAGGTAATTTATAAAATATTCGCTGTTATTTGCTTGTTGATTTAAATAAAGCTGCGATAACCAAATTTTCTTTTCTCATCAACTGGTAGGACAACCATGGCTTAGCTCTGTAAAGAAAACGTAAAGGCTGGTTTGCCCACAGTCGCCAACAACAGCTTCAGACGGCAGCGAGGAGATCCTGGACGCTAAACCCTTCTCCAGACAGGTACAGACTAGGCCAGTATTTCCCGAGACATCAAGATACTGCAGCTTGCTCAGGAGTGAAATAGCGAGCGGCATCCTGGTTAATTTGGTATGAGTTAAATCTAACTGTTGCAGCTGAGGCAGATTCTGAAAGGCGAGAAGAGATATCTTCGATAGAGGATTGTTGGACATAAGCAAATATGTAATGTTGGAATTGACGGGAAAGCTCGTGTCTGTTAATTCCGTTATAATGTTATTTCCTAAATCAACTCCCGTAACTCTGTTAGGAATATCTGTTCCTTGAATAGAAAGCATACGATTGTAACTCAAATCCAATTCAGTTAACAATTTCATTGTTTTCATTACCGTGGGAACTGTAGTTAAAAAGTTTTTGTATAGTTGTAGGCTGGTCAGGTTTTCGGGAATTCCACCCGAGTATGGGTCAGAAATATGATTGTTCATGTAGTCTAATTCAATTATTTTGGTCAGAAATGACAGATCCGGTATGGACGTAAGAAAATTGTCATAAACGCTAAATGTTTGCAACGTGTTAGCGTAAGGTCGTAAAACGGAGCTTAGTTTTCCGGCGTCGGATATTCTGTTCTCAGTCAATGCCAAATAAGACAAGTTGCTGAGCTGTGGAAGCCAAGTGAGATCCGTAATTTTATTTTGTTCTAAAGATAGAATATTCAATGCGGTCATCTTTGATATTGCCTTTGGGACACTGGTCAGGCTGTTGTTATGAAGTTGCAACTGTACTAACGTGTTGGTCACTAGATCTAGAGCATCATCTGGAATTGAAGAGATACCGCTGCTGGTAATGGATATGTCGGTCAAGTTGGAGCAATATTTCAGCCAGTTAGGCCAGGAGGACACTCCACCTGTTACAAGCTGAAAGGACAGCAGCGAAGGACAAAGATTCTTCATGGCGTTATCGTCCCAAGTCAGGATATTTACGCTGTAGAGATTGAGATTCCATAGCTGCCTCAAGCGAGTTACCGCTGCAGGAACTTGTGTGAATTTAGCGCCATCAAATGTTATCGTCTGTAATGTGTTGACGGACTCGTCAAAGGCGGTATCGTCGATAGTTTCTATAGGATTTCCTTGCAGTGAAAGTGATATCAGATTCGGAGGTAGGCTTCCCGCGGGTATCGTGGTGATTTGATTACTCTGTGAAAACCAGTATAGAAATAGGATGTTAGAAAACAACAAAATATGTTCTGACTCAAAGATCGTGTTAGGGGCAACAGAGTGAGAACGTCTTATGCTGATTGCACTTGTTTTCCCCCTCCCCTTTTTCCCGGGATGTGTGAGGCAAGTCTTCGGTATCCCAACCGTACAAAGGCGTTTTCTTTTTAAGTATAAGTTAATACATTTCATTATTTTTCAAATATATTGTAAAAAAAAAATATTGATATGGTAATTTGCCTGTCAGCAAAGGTTTTTAAAATTAAAAGCATTAAAATAAAATTCTAGTGTACAATATTATCATACAATAGAACCCGATAGCGTCAGTTCTGTGAAGTAAAGGCAGCAGAAGTGAATTTGACCACATCGCTCAGAGAGTGCCGATTGGTCTATAAAACAATGTCTTGTATCATTTACCTGATTCGCAACTACCATGACAATGATCTGTTTTTTCAATTTTATTCCACTTTTGTTTATTGTCCTGCAGTTTGTCTCATATTATATTCCCGCCAAATGACAAGCCCTACAACGATGGTGATCGCGTTGAGAATGCATCTATTTATAATTGCTAGTAATGTACATTAGAAATATTTACTCTTGTGCTACAAGATGCAGAAACATGAGTGCCTATCCTAACCATCAACGACTACCATAACTATCAATGGTTAAACTTCCATCGATGACTGGTGTAAATATCAATGCCTACAGTAACCATCAATGGCGACAGTAGCCATCAATGACCACAGCAGCCATCAATGTCTACAGTAACCATCAATGTCTACAGTAACCATCAATGGCTACAGTAACCATCACTTGCTACAGTAACCATCAATGTCTACAGTAACCATCAATGGCTACAGTAACCATCACTTGCTACAGTAACCATCAATGTCTACAGTAACCATCAATGGCTACAGTAACCATCACTTGCTACAGTAACCATCAATGCCTACAGTAACCATCAATGGCTACAGTAAACATCACTTGCTACAGTAACCATCAATGCCTACAGTAACCATCAATGCCCACAGTAACCATCAATGGCTACAGTAACCATCAATGGCTACAGTAACCATCAATGCCTACAGTAACCATCAATGGCTACAGTAACCATCACTTGCTACAGTAACCATCAATGCCCACAGTAACCATCAATGCCTACAGTAACCATCAATGCCTACAGTAACCATCAATGTCTACAGTAACCATCAATGCCTACAGTAACCATCAATGCCTACAGTAACCAACAGGGCCTAGAGTAACCATCAATGCCTACAGTAACCATCAATGACCACAGTAGCCATCAAGGCCTACAGTAACCATCAATGCCTACAGTAACCAACAATGACTACAGTAACCATCAATGCCTACAGTAACCATCAATGCCTACAGTAACCAACAATGCCTACAGTAACCATCAATGCATACAGTGACCATCAATGCCTACAGTAACCATCAATGCCTAGAGTAACCATCAATGACTACAGTAACCATCAATGCCTACAGTAACCATCAATGCCAACAGTAACCATCAATGCCTACAGTAACCATCAATGCCTACAGTAACCATCAATGCCTACAGTAACCATCAATGCCTACAGTAACCATCAATGACGACAGTAGCCATCTATGCCTACAGTAACCATCAATGACCACAGTAGCTATCAAGGCCTACAGTAACCATCAATGCCTACAGTAACCAACAATGACTACAGTAACCATCAATGCCTACAGTAACCATCAATACCTACAGTAACCATCAATGCCTACAGTAACCATCAATGCCTACAGTGACCATCAATGCCTACAGTAACCATCAATGCCTAGAGTAACCATCAATGACTACAGTAACCATCAATGCCTACAGTAACCATCAATGCCAACAGTAACCATCAATGCCTACAGTAACCATCAATGCCTACAGTAACCATCAATGCCTACAGTAACCATCAATGCCTACAGTAACCATCAATGCCTACAGTAACCATCAATGACGACAGTAGCCATCAATGCCTACAGTAACCATCAAAGGCTACAGTAGCCATCAATGGTTACAGTAACCAACAATGGCTACAGTAATCATCACTTGCTACGGTAACCATCAATGGCTACAGTACCCATCAATGGTTACAGTAAGCAACAATGGCTACCGTAGCCATCAATAGTTAAAGTAGCCCTCGATGACTTGTGTAGCTGTCAATGACTACAGTAACCACTAATGACTACAGTAACCATCAATTCCTACACTATCCATCAATTACTACCGTAGCCATCAATTCCTACAGCAACCATTAATGGTTAGAGTAACCATCAATGACTACCATAACCATCAGTGGCTACAGTAACCATCAGTGGCTACAGTAACCATCAGTTGCTACAGTAACCATCAATGACTACCATAACCAACTAAGTTGAAACAGTAACATGTAGTCATGACACCCTGGCTACAAATACACATCAGGTCGGATTTTTTTTTTCAACTGATCTTGTCCCTTAAGTGAACCTCACCCGTCTCTCTAGCGTAGTTGGCTAAACCGGATTGCTCGGTGACCGGGTGACAAACTCCTTAAGGTCCTTGGTCATTCCTAGGGGTAGGCAGAAAAGCCACATTTCTCCCAGATTTACGGTATTTACAATGGAATCAAGGCCGAAAGGTTGCGATATCCATAATACTGAGCCTAAGGGTTAACAACTCATGGCTTCTGGATACTAAAACAAACAAACAAACAAGTGAACCTCCCTCTGCAATGAACACTAGATCAAGTCATGCGGAGTAGAGGCAGCCGACGGGATGTTAACAGCATACCATTTTGAATGATGTTTTGTATATAAAAATACTTATCTAAAAAAGTTGCCCCCACAGGCGTGAAATGGGTGTTTGGCTGCATTTGCAGCTTCTAAGCCACAGAGGCCGACAAATTGTACTAACATGGCAAAGAATGATGGCTGCCTCCTTCTAACATTTGTGATACGTTGTCAAGTCCTTGTCTCTTTCAGAGCATCAGGGTTAGTCATTCTTGGTATCCAAGGAATTTAACCATTCTTCTGTGAAACTGCATCTCTGAGACCATGTAATAAGACTAGCATCAGACAGGGCACCACAGAGAGCAATTTTATACAGATACAGCGGTAACAGAGCCAGAGGTTCACCAAGCAGAAGATGGACTGTAGAAATATCAGAGACACAAAAAAGTACTATATACGGAGCGAACAAAAAGGCATGTTCTAGAGATCTCCTCCGGTCCTTATGCCGTGAGGCATTCCTGGAGTAGAGGAAAGAAGAAGGACGAAAACATTGTTTCGCTTCTATATTAATTGTCCAGAATTCACAGCTGTAGTTTAACCCTTTGGAGGCCCGTCTCTCTAGCGTAGTTGGCTAAACCGGATTGTGCGGTGAGCGGTTGACGAACTCCTTGTGGTCCAGGTTCACTCCCGGGGGTGGGCAGAAAAGCCATATTTCTCCCAGCTTTACGGTATTTAAAATGGAATCAAGGCCGAAAGGTTGCGATATCCATAACACCGAGCCTAAGGTGGACCTCCCTCTGCAATGAACACTAGATCAAGTCATGCGGATTAGAGGCAGCCGACGGGATGTTAACAGCATACCATTTTGAATGATGTTTTGTATATAAAAATACTTATCTAAAAAAGTTGCCCCCAATGGCGTGAAATGAGTGTTTGGCTTTACTGTACTTTTACATGGCCCCCGCCATTTGTTGTCATAACAAGCTTTATTCATTAAATATTAGTTTACCCTCGTTTTCTCCAAACATTTTAACCCTTTTTAAGCCATCCGGAAGGGTGCATAGAAATAAAGGAGGATATGAAAACACACGGAGAAGGGATCTAGAGAGTTAAGTGAGAAATAGAGAGAGAGAGCTGCATGTGATAGCGAAGGATAGAACGACTTGGCCGGATTTGGTTGGGGGCCAATGCTCCATTAGGTGGTAGAATGGCAGAAGAAGAAGTAGAAGAAGAAGAAGAAGAAGCTGTCTGAGTTTACCTGGGTAAAGATTTAGTCACAGAATTCAGGCAAGCTCATATTAACCCCGACTCCCTACCCAACAGCCAACAAAGTAGCTCTGCCTACTATCTCTGTACGGACGGTATCCGTTCACATTTGATCTGGGTAAATTCTCGTCATACTTTTCTCTCGAGTTTCGAGTTGTGCCCAAAGCCCACCGACACACACTCCATTGTTGCACTATTCTCTTCATGTACGGGTTTTTAATATTTTGCATTGTCTTTCTAGTAATATCTGCATCAATGAACCTCAAAGGCTCGGAATGCGGAAGAGGAAGAAGAAAAAGAACCCTGCCCTTCTCAAACTAGACATTAAACAGCAACCAACTCAGCCACTTACGTCAAGATTTAAGGTAACATAAAACCCCTTGGTTTGAACATTCCTTTCGGGGATGGACTTAAGCGACTGACTATCGCAATAGATGTCAGTTTGATCACAGAAACATTCCTGTGTACAAAAGAAGAAACGTTCGTGTACTAATTAGATTAAGGTTATATTCACTTACACACTGGGAAAACGTTTTCTGTATAATGTTATAATACTCAGATCCTGAGCGTAAGATGGATTTTCTGTCAATGTTATTCCAGTGTGCGGGGTAAGGAGAAAGCTGCCAGATTGGCTGCAGCCGATTCTCTAAGTGACGAACTACTTTATGATAAAGCGGAAGTGGTGAAAGCTCTCTGGGATTAAGTGGACATTGCAGCAGAACAGACCAAGTATACATATGTTGAAAGACTAATTCAGCGGGGGATGCAGGGGGGGGGGGGAGTAGAGCGTCCGAAAGATATTCAAGACAGAGGGCTGGGGGTAAGGACGGGTGCAGGTAGACATTATCCACATTGCAACAGGCTCTTTAAGCATTTCGACTTTTTCGTTGAACTTCTGAGAAAGAAGAGGGTGACAGTATGGGGACGCACTGAGCGCAGGGATGTCCTTTCTTTATGCTTTTATTTATTCTTGCTATAAAATGTGTATAAGGATCTGACTTTAGTGGTTTCTGAAGTAGTAGTAGTAGTTTTAGTAGTAGTAGTAGTAGTAGTAGTAGTAGTAGTAGTAGTAGTAGTAGTAGTAGTAGTAGTAGTAGTAGTAGTAGTAGTAGTTGTTGTTGTTGTTGTAGTAGTAGTAGTAGTAGAAGTAATAGTAGTAGTAGTAGTAGTAGTAGTAGCAGCAGTAGTTGTAGTAGTAGTAGTAGTACTGGTAGTGGTAGTAGTAGTACTGGTAGTGGTAGTGGTAGTAGCAGTAGAAATTGTAGCAGCGGTTGTAATAGTAGTAGTAGTAGTAGTAGTAGTAGTAGTAGTAGTAGTAGTAGTAGTAGTAGTAGTAGTAGTAGTAGTAGTAGTAGTAGTAGTAGTAGTAGTAGTAGTAGCAGCAGCAGCAGTTGTAATAGCAGCAGACGTATCAGCAGCAGAACAACAGTAGAATATAGGGTATCAAATTAAAAGTTGCAGTAAGTTGTGCAACATTTACGTGTAAGAAGATTGAAACTTTTAATAAATCTATCTATCTATCTATCTATCTATCTATCTATCTATCTATCTATCTATCTATCTATCTATCTATCTATCTATCTATCTATCTATCTATCTATCTATCTATCTATCTATCTATCTATCTATCTATCTATCTATCTATCTATCTATCTATCTATCTATCTATCTATCTATCTATCTATCTATCTATCTATCTATCTATCTATCTATCTATCTATCTATCTATCTATCTATCTCTATCTATCTATCTATCTATCTATCTATCTATCTATCTATCTATCTATCTATCTATCTATCTATCTATCTATCTATCTATCTATCTATCTATCTATCTATCTATCTATCTATCTATCTATCTGTCTGTCTGTCTGTCTGTCTGTCTGTCTGTCTGTCTGTCTGTCTGTCTGTCTGTCTGTCTGTCTGTCTGTCTGTCTGTCTGTCTGTCTGTCTGTCTGTCTGTCTGTCTGTCTGTCTGTCTGTCTGTCTGTCTGTCTGTCTGTCTGTCTGTCTGTCTGTCTGTCTGTCTGTCTGTCTGTCTGTCTGTCTGTCTGTCTGTCGATCGGTCGGTCGGTCGGTCGGTCTGTCTGTCCTTCTGTCTGTCTGTCTGTCTGTCTATCTATCTATCTATCTATCTATCTATCTATCTATCTATCTATCTATCTATCTATCTATCTATCTATCTATCTATCTATCTATCTATCTATCTATCTATCTATCTATCTATCTATCTATCTATCTATCTATCTATCTATCTATCTATCTATCTATCTATCTATCTATCTATCCATCCATCTATCCATCCATCCATCCATCAACCAACGTATCCATATGTCAGTCCATCCATCCATCCACAAACGCATCGATATGTCCATTCATCCACCCATCCCTCCATCCATCCATACATCCATCCATACATCCATCCCATCCATCCACCAACGCATCCATATGTCCATCCATCAATCAATCAATCCATCCTCCAACGCATCCATATGTCCATCTATCCATCCATCCACAAATTAATCTTAAGGAGTTTGTCATATGTCCATCCATCCACCTACGCATCCATATGTCCATCCATCCACCAACGCATTAATATGTCCATCCATCCATCCACCAACGCATCCATATTTCCATCCATTTATCCGTTTTTATATCCACCAACGCATCCATATGTCCATCCATCCATCTATCTATCTATCTGCGTGTCCACTTCGTGACTCTGAAAATAAAAGGTTCGTTCGTTCTTCGTTCTGTGTGTCTATCTGCCTAATTAGCTATCTATTGATGCTATCTGCAGGTTTGTTTGTGTGTGTGTGTGTGCGTGTGTATGAGCGAGTGTGTGCATGCATGCGTGCTTGTTTGTGTAAGAGAATGAGAGACAGACAGACAGACAAAAAGAATTGGAAAAACCGTTTGGTCTGTCTGTCAGACCGCCATTATCTAAGTACCTTATAAGGACAGTCATACTGTCCTAAAACTCCCAGAAAGCCAACGAAGAACGTACAGTAGAGAATTTCCATTTTCTCCTAGAGATAATAGAAATATCAATTCAACTAATGCATTGTTTTTACTTCTGTATGCTTTCAAGTAAATGAAAACATTACTATAACATTGTTTTGTCGAAGTCAGTGCCTTCATGCCATTCGAATAATTACTTTACGTGTATATCACTGTTTTGTTGTCATCCATACCTTCAAGACATTGGAAGAATTACTGTAGAATGTTTTTGTTAATATCGATACCTTCAAATCATTGGAAGAATTACTGAAACAGCGTTCTCTTAATATCGATACCTTTAAGTCATTAAAAGAATTACTATAAAATTCTTTTGGTGCAATCGATACCTTCCAGTCAGTGGAAGAATTACTATAACATTGTTTTGTTAATATCGATACCTTCAAGTCACTGGAAGAATTACTATAACATTGTTTTGTTCCCATTAATACCTTCCAGTCGGTGTCAACATGACTATAATATTGTTTTGTACCCATCGATGCCTTTAAGTCGTTGGAAAAATTACTAAAACATTGTTTTGTTAATATCAATATCGTCCAATTAGTGAATGAATTACTATAACATTGTTTTGTTAATATCGATACCTTCAAGTCTTTGGAAGAATTACAATAATATTGTATTGTTAATATATCGATATCTTCAATTTATTGGAAGAAATATTATAACACTGGGATTTTTTCACATGGACTTTGACTTATAGTAATTTCCCCTGGTCTCTGGGTAGTGAAATCGGACGCCCAAGTGCATTGTTCCGCACGTAAAAAAAAAATCCCGTGGAAGTTGAGAATCGAAAGAGTAGCCAAACGGTGCTGCCCAGTAAAAATTTAGAGTTAAAATTCTACCTAAAAGTATTTCAGGCTCCCCGCTGGTGCTAAAGAGCCTGTGCACTGTGCTAAGCTTTTTGGACTCGGACTTGAGTTAAAAGGATAACGGAGCACTTATGGGTTACACCCGTGTGCTATGATGTTGATCCGTTGTTCAAAATCTCAAACCAAATAAAATTCTTCTAATGTAATCAATACCAGAACTTTTTACATAAAATAGAGTATTTTACTATTATCTTTTTATGGATGTCTGCTACAAAAATACTAAGGTGGACATGTATCAAGCTGAACAGTCGCCCTCATTCACAATAACAGTGAAACAAGAAAGACTTACTGTTTATTGTTGTCAGAAAATTTGAACATACAGTAATTGTCTTACGCAATTACAAGTGTCGATGCTTGCACACAGGCACTACATTTTTGTCGCTAGGCTCAGGCAGTGATAGATAAGAAGTAAAAATCTCTGTCAGTGTAATGTTTGTTAGCTTGCCTTGGTAATAGTACATAGTCACACATGTCAGTCTGTTCAAGATCTGTCCTTGTTAAGAATTCCATATGCACCAGAAATTTATGGAAAGCATCTTCCTGTTTCTTCTTCTTCTTCTTTTTCTTCTTCTTCTTCTTCTTCTTCTTCTTCTTCTTCTTCTTCTTCTTCTTCTTCTTCTTCTTATTATTATTATTATTATTATTATTATTATTATTATTATTATTAATATTATTATTATTCTACTGCTACTACTCCGCTACAACCACTCTACAAGCTGTACTACCACTGTTGCTGCTGCTACTACTGCTACTACTGCTACTACTACTGCTGCTGCATCTACTACTATTGCTGCTGGAAGCTGCTTCTCCTACTATTACAGCTGCTAATACTACCACAACTACTAATACTACTTCTGCTGCTGCTACTACTACTACTATTACAACGCTTACTTCAACTGCTATCGCTGTTCTAACTTCAGCTACTACTCCTACTCTCACTTCGTCTATTACTACTGCTACTACTTCTTCTGCTGCTGTTTTTTTTTTTTTTTTTATTGTTATTATTTTTACTTTTATTATTACCATTAGACTTTATTTGTCTGATGGTGCGCAGTCTCATTTTTTTTAATTCATCATTTTTTCAGCACTGCTGTAATTTACACTTGTTGGTGAGTCCTGTACATTATTATCTAGAAAAAAATCCTTTTTTATTGTCATCATCATAGTCATCATCATCATCATTACCATCATCATCATTATCATCATCATCATCATTCGTCTTCTAACAATTCCTCTCATACAAATGCTTTATGTGAATTCATCTTGATATAAGTAAAAGTAGAAGTCCCTTTCCCATACCTTCAGGTGTATTGGGCATTTAGGGCTAGACCTATGTTTTATAGACTAACGGTGCTTGGTGGGTGATGTGGTCGCCATCATACCGGCCGCCTTCACTTTCCAAGACTGCAGCTAGTACCCACTCACGGCTGGTTAAACCGGGGAGCCAAGGTCATTTTTGCTATCACATGCAGATGTCCCCATGTCCTCTCCCATGTTTGTAACTTCACAGTCTAACTCCATTCTTCGTGTGTTTTTGGTTTTCCTTTATTTATGTGCACCTGTGGGTTCCAGTGCATAGACATTCTAGTTACTTTGTCCTCAGGTCTTCTCGTCGTGTGTTCTATCTAACGCCAGCGTCTTTTCTTCACCTTGTGGTCCACTTAAACTTGTTTTGTTCTCCTCAGTTTTATCCAGTTTACCTTTTTTAGTGAATGTTGTTTCAAAATATTTAAACTCAGATGCATCTTCGATGTCTGTGAAATTTACTGCTATATTTAGGTTGAGCTTCTTTCTTTAGTCAGTCAATCTAAAGTAACGTTGGTTGATAGTATTACGCTACATTTCTAATCTTATGCTGAAATGTGAACTGATCCTTTTGCAAAATTCAATAAAATACGTATATATTATATATTTTTCACAGATTTTACTTTTATTTTTTTCCCAAACACGCACTGAGACCACTTGCTGTACATAATGTTAAAGGAAAAAAGTAAAGGATTCTTTTACACGCAATAAGGCGTGTTGGGCATAGAGGGCTAGACCTATATTTAATAAACCGATCGGTGTTTGGTGGGTGATGTGGTCAACATCTTGCCGACCGCCTTTACCTCCCAGGACTGCATCCTGTACCCTTCGGACTCAAGACTGGGTCGACATGGGAGCCACAGTCATTTTTGAAGAAACCCGGTTCCGTCAGACTTGAATCCACATCTTTCCGATCCGCAGGCGGGTGTCTAGCAGCTCTTTTCTACCACGACGACTTCCTGTACATATGTATTAAGAGATGTATGTTACCCATCTCTGTTAATCGATGTTTTACTGCACCTGAAACGCCATTGTTATGAAGAAAGCCTGTACTGATTTACTTTGCTAACATAAGGTCTCTCTCCGTTGCAAAATGGTCAAGTCTTTAGCCTCGTGCTCTGAAAGTCGTGGGTTCGGTTCGCAGCTGCATCGTTCAGTTCACGAGTGCATTTTTTACGGAGATCTCATGGGATCGACGCTGCAGCTATGGAGTTCGTACTTTGTGTGATGTTATCGATAGGCGGCTACCCGTTCTGCAGGGAGAGACCCAGCAATATAGGGTCAAACCTAATGCAATGAAGTTGTTCCTCTCGACTTTAACTTTAACTAACAAGGAAGGTATTTTATCAAGGACAATCATTCGTGAGTGGCGATGCATAGGGGAAGTTAGCAAACAAACATAAGCTTCTTGTTTTTAAGTGTTTTGCACACTGAATCCTTACATCCGGCTTCCTTTCACTGAAGCAGGACATTTAGCAAGTGCCACTTATAAACCCGTACACCAGTTCAGTTACATCACATTCTGGCTCACCAGGTTTAAACGGTAAGAAAAACTAACTGCCTTGCATGAATCTGTGTTTAATATGTGTTTATTCTAATCTCTAAGAAATCCAAAGGAGTACACTGAATGTTGGCAACATCGAACAGTTAACGTAATCGTTTGTGCTCTATAATGCGGGTGTTCAAGGTAACTAATGTACAGATTATGCTGCTGTCATTATGGTTGCCGTGAATGATCCAGCAATGGGCAAAAACAATTTCATTAGATTTGTGAACATCGAACAGTTAGCTTAATCGTTTGTGCTCTAAAATGCGGGTGTTCAAGGTAACCAATGTACAGATTATATCGCTGTCACTATGGTTGCCGTGACTGATCGGCTATCTGCAGAAACGATATCACCAGATCTGTGCAAGATGCATATCTCTAAGATGGTTACCACAGTGAGCACGGCTTCGTACCACAGTTCCTACTGGTGAATATGCAGGTGCAACCTGGAGTAGTAAGACATAAACATTTCACCAAAGAGCAAAAGTTTGGTTAGTCAACAAATGACTGGCGTGGTCATTTGTTTTACATGTGCTGGCTACTGGAGAGGAGATTGTAATATCTAAGGATATCTCTGGAGTGCTGTTATGGTGGTCTTTACGAATAGCATTTATCGCAACCGTGTTGTTCCGTATCATTATTGAACACAAATTATTTTTTTGTCCCATTAAAAAATTCAAAATAAAAAACAGCGAGAACAAACAAAAATTGTAGCTTTTTTGAAAGAAACTATACAACAAAGAACGTGATCCCCCCTCCCCCAACCCCCTCCTCCACCCCTTCCCCCTTTCCCCCTTTCCCTCCACAAGATCTTCATCAAATCTTTTCATTAAAAGTAAACACTGATCTCAAGAACAGTCTCTCAAAGAATCTCTGAATAGTGAGAAGCAACTTCAAAATTCATCATCTGTTTAAATCGCAGCCACTAAAAGGGTTCATGAATGATAGATAGGAAACGTTAAGCCACATGGAGGAAATGACAAATAGTAGAGGCAAAAAGGTATTTAATAGACCTTATTGGGAAGGTAGAAGAGTAGGGGACAAAGAGGGAGGAGATATACTTTGCCCGAAGACCCACAATATGTTTAGCACCAAGCAGAAAGAGAAGAATGTCAGAAACAGAGATGAATGGATAAAGATTATATCAGTAGCAATGAAGCGCAGTGGCTTGGAATGCTGAGAGAGGAGATATACTTTGCACGCAGACCTTTAATATGTTGAGTAATCAAGTAGAAAGTGAAGGTCAGAAACAGGGATGAATGGATAAAGATTATATCTGTAACAATGAAGCGCATTGGCTTGGAATGCTGAAGGAGGAGATATACTTTGCACGCACACCTTCAATATGTTAAGTCATCAAGTAGAAAGTGAAGGAGGTCAGAAACAGGGATGAATGGATAAAGATTATATCTGTAGCAATTAAGCGCAGGGGCTTGGAATTCTGAAGGAGAAGAAGAAACAAAAACCTTCACTTGGACTTCATTCTTATATCTGTATCGCCTAATAGAGCATGGAGTCTTTAAAAAAGAAAACAGGAGCTTTCGAGCTGAAATGCTATAGAAAAAATCTCACAATATTATGGACAAAGAAGAGAGGAAATACTGAAATCATCGAGGAAGATTGAGTAATAAGCAGCATCTTATCTCGGAAGCTAAAATATTTCGGAATATTAAGCGCCATGGCGGATTGGAAAAGAAAAACCATGAATGAGGGGCAGGGGCCGACCAACATGAAAATGGGCACATAATATAAATGCCTCCTTGAATATGGAAGTACACGAGGCGCCAGAGCTATCGAGTGCGAGTTTCTTTCAGACAGACCGTGGTGAGAGAGACGTTTTGCAAAGGACCTGCTACATGATGATGATGGATGCAGCATAGACCAAAAGCCAGCTTACGCAACGCCGAATTCAGATTTGGTCACAGTTGTTTTGATTTTCCGCTTACATGATAATTACAGTGTTTCTATTCTATGAGCAGTGCTTATGTTTATTGTTACTTTTGTTGTACTCATCAGAACTTACCGTGGAGTCCTTCATAGCTTTGCAATACTTCTGACTGTACACTATCCGTCTATTATTTAAATAAACAATTTATCAAATGTTGTCCTGTAACATCTGTTTCGAAATTTGATCTGCTTCTTCTTCTTATTCTTCTTATTCTGCGTTCAACATCAGCCATGCTAAAAATTGAGTATCGTTTGGGTCACAAACAGTAGGGTGGGTGCCTTTCAGGTCGCAATGAGACCTGTCTTGTAATATAGCTCCGATGGGCCAGCTCCCAAACCTCTGCTAGAAGTTAGGGTAGTCCAACTGTACATTCCCCGGAGTCTAATCTGTTTGAGGTGTGAACAACGGATCATCATCATGGCACACGGGTAGTAACCCATACGTGATCCGTTCTTCTTAGCAGCCAAAGAAGAACAGTAAAGCAGTACAGAACTGTACTAAGGATAATGTACAACAGACATGGCAAATGAATACACATTGTTTAGGGGTGCCTACTTGGTAATGTAATTAGAACAATGGTTTCCAAAGCGAGGCGCACAGGCAATTTGGAGCTGACAGGCTCGATTCCCGGCACAGTAGCTACAGCTTTCGATTTTAATGTTGTCTTGTGTGTCGTTCTATCGATCTACTGCTTTATATGAGTTTAAGTCAATACTTTTTCTGTTTGTTTATTATAAATACAGTACTAAACAAGTGTTATCGGTCGCCACAAGCTGATGGAGGTAGTGAAGATGGCTGGTATCTGAACATTTATGGACTGTCCGATGTGGGGATGAGGATGATCAAACAATTAACTAACACACACTGAAGTTAACACGAACACAGGACCGAATGCACAGGCCAGGTTTCCGTATTGACGTAGTCAAGCCATTTACCTCGCCCTCTTAAGGTCGTAGGTTCGTTTCACAGGAGAACGCCGTTCAGCTCACCAGTTTAGTTTGTACGGTGATTAAATGTGTTGTCGCTGGAGCTATGGAGTTTGTGCTTTGTGTGATGCTCTCGACAGGCGGCTAGCCATTCTGTAGACTGAGTTATAAAGGACTTAAATTTGTTGACACTGGATACTAGTAGAAGTTTGCCATAATATTAAGAGCTTGGATGCTAAAGCTAACCTTATAATCAGCTCATGTATTGGTAGAAGGTCAAAGTAATTTGTTTTCACCCCCGAATGTATTTATACATTTAGTATTAATCATTGTCATTATGAGTTGTGTCCATAGGGTAGGCTATTAGTCCTTGGAGACAGCTGAGCTGGTTTTTCTATTACAAGACTGTTGAACTGGTTTTTCTATTATATGACAGTTGAATTGGTTTTTCTATTACAAGACAGTTGAATTGGTTTTTCTATTACAAGACAGTTGAATTTTTTTTTTATTTTTTTATTACAAAACAGCTGAGCTGAGTTTTCTATTACACGGCAATTGAACTCGTTTTTCCATTACAAGACAGCTAAATTGGATTTTCTATTACAAGACAGCTAATTGGCTTTTCCATTACAAGGCAACTGAACTGGGGGTTTTTTTCTTTCTATTACCAGACAGCTGATTTGGATTTTTGGATTCGACAAAATGGCACCAAAGACAGCAGACGACCTTAAACCTACTCATGTCGCTAGACTGTTCTCAAGCAGTACATGGACAAGAAGCATAGCCTTCCTATTTTGCGTCTTATCACTGGTAGCTCAGGGTAAGTTTCCTACCAGTTTGCTAAAGTAAGAAGCAGTGGGAATAAACTCCACAGGGGAGCATGTACAGCAGGGATTTACCAGTCGTCAGTAGAAGTAATCTCTCGTCGACAAATGTTTCGGCCCACGAGCTCCTTGACATTTTCAGAGAGTGGGCCCACCTGAGTTCATGAAGATCAGGGTTGGTTTCCCTGCTGCACGAAATTACCGGATGTTGTTCGGATAGGGACAAGACGACTTGGTGATTTTGCAGAAGGTACTGTGAGATAAGAAGTCGTCGCGGTAGCATAATTAGAGCAGTCTGCATACCTGGACGACCGAGCGACAAGCTTACGATTGGTATACCGGACACATGTTGAACTTTTGTTAGCAAGTGGCAGAGGAACACTGGCAGACAATTCGGACACGATGGACTTTCAAGGGATGAGAAACTCTTTTCCACTAGACACCCGGACCAGCTCACCGAGTCCCGTCCCCTACGTTGTTCCGTTGCGTCCAGAGCCAGCTCGATAAATAAAACGCTCTTTGACATAACACCATTTGGATGTGATGAAAGTGGCGCACACACACACACACACACACACACACACAAACACACAAAGGGAGGATAGGCGGTGAAGCAGAGTTAGCGCTTTTTATAATTACCTAATAATAATGTCTCCAGGTTTTCCGGTGTGTTGGGAAATGAGCAGACAGATAGACTGGCTGGCTCAGCACCACTTGGTGGTGAATTGGTGTATGACAAGTGGAGGCGCATATAGATCATTACGATCTAAGGAGAATGGCGCTGCGAGAAGTTACCAGGGATTAGGGCCGACGCTCAATACTT